GTTTCTCATTGGCTGAGCTGTGACTGTCTCTCATTGGCTGGGCTGTTGCTGGGCCAGAAAATAATCTTCGTTCTTTCTGCCGGAGTCCTAAGGCACAAACTTCTTTCTGCCCAGAGTGCATGCTGTCTGCTGGGTCTGCAAAGGGCTGTGAGGAGTGGTGTGGTGTGTGAACTCCCTAACCCTGCTGGCCTCCTGACCCCATTTTGCGTTTTTATTTTTTTATTTTATCTGGGAAAATATTTATTATCTTATTTATTTGTCTTTTCAAGTTTTTATTTCAATTCTAGTTAGCTAACATATACGGTAAAATTGGTTTCAGGTATAGAATTTAGTGATTCATCACTTAACACCTAATACCCAGGGCTAATCCTAACAAGCACCCTCCTTGATACCCATCACCCATCTAGCCCATCCCCCAACCCACTTCCTCTTGAGCAACCCTCAGTTTGTTCTCTATTGTTGAGAGTCTCTTATGGTTTGCTTCCCAATCTCTCTTTTTTTTCCTTCCAATATGTTCATCTGTTTTATTTCCTAAATTCCACATATGTGTGAAATCACAGGGTATTTGTCTATGACTGACTTGTTTCATTTAGCATAATACCCTCTAGTTCCATCCAGGTCATTGCAAATGGCAAGATTTCATTCTTTCTGATGGCTGAGTAATATTCCAGTGTGTGTGTGTGTGTGTGTGTGTGTGTGTGTGTGTGTGTGTTTATAACACATCTTTACCCATTCATCAGTCAATGGACATTTGGGCTCTTTCCATAGTTTGATTATTATTATTATTATTTTAAGATTTATTTGACAAAGAGAGACACAGCAAGAGAGGGAACACAAGCAGGGGGAGTGGGAGAGGGAGAAGCAGGCTTCCCGCAGAGCAGGGAGCCCGATGCAGGGCTCGATACCAGGATCCTGGGATCATGACCTGAGCCGAAGGCAGACGCTTAACGACTGAGCCACCCAGGTGCCCCTAGTTTGATTATTTTGATAATTCTGCTATAAACATCAAGGTGCATGTGTCCCTTTGAATCTGTCTTTCTGCATCCTTTGGGTAAAGTGACCCCATTTTATTTTTTTATTTTTTTTAGAGCAGAGGGAGGGGCAGAGGGAAAAGGAGAGAGAGAATCTCCAGGCTCCCCTCTGAGCGTGGAGCTCGACACGGGGCTCAATCTCACGACCCTGAGATCACGACCTGAGCCAAAATCCAGAGTCAGGTGCTTAACTGACTGAGCCATCCAGGCGCCCCCAAACCAACCCCATTTTGAATGAAGTTTTCCTTTATTCTGTTGCACAGGCACTAGGAAAATATATTACATGAAAACAGTTTGGAATAAAGGAATGGTTTCATAAATAACAATAAACAAATGCAATGCTTTTCTGAAAGGTGTCTTTGTGACAACCACAGAACAACATGGAAAAAATTCCCTTGGATTCCACGTAAAACCACAGGAGACAAAAGGATGGTTGCATGTGGCTATGCATAGGGCTAGAACTCTGGGAGACTTGAACATGTTTAAATGCTGTTTACTGTGGTTATATTATCTTATAAAACACAAAGGGCAGGTGGGATTGGTGTTAGGATGTCGGATGAAGTTGCCCAATCATGAAACCTTCAAAACCCAATGTGGGGAAAAGAAGCCAAACATGCTGAACAGAATAACCTGCCGTAATAAGCACAAGATAAAGATTGAACGAGGCCCCGGGCATCCGAGGGCGAGCAGAGTGCCGAGTCGGGCAAGTGAGCCCTTCCCTCTGCTGCAGAACACACTGGGGCCTCGGCTCCTCTTGCCTTTTCTGTAAATGTTTCCAAAACATTCCAGGCCCGTAGAGTGTGCAAATATCGGAAGAGCCCACGTGATGGAATTGGGTCTTCTGATTCTGCTCTCTAGGAGTTCCTAGGATGGGGGTTGACTTCCCAGAACCCCATCCTTCCCCAGAGATGGCTTTGACCTTTTTTCAGGGCAGGGGAAAAAAGGGTCCCTTGGAAACTGTGTGCCCAGGCCGCACACGCTTCTCCCCGGCTGCTGAGGCCAATAAGGCGCAGAGGCTCACCTCCTCCCCTCTCCGCCAGTGTTTACTATGGCCCAGACTATTCCCTGGTGACCGGCTATAAACAGCACTCTTACTGGTACTCATGGTAATCAGAGTTTAGAGAAAAGCATCTGTTCTGGAGAGGTGTCCAGGAGAGGGCTCTACGATGTGACTCAAGAGCCCTCGGTTCTTTCTGGCCCTGGCCTTGACTCCAAATTGCTGGGTGGTCTGAGAGATTCCACTTATTCAAGGAGCGAGTGTTTTTTCAAGAGATTGGGACACGCAAATCGGTGCAGGCACAGCAGAAAGTGGGAAGATGAAGGAGGCAGGGCTCTTCCCTCTGAGGATACTGAATATAATGGGATAGATGGCCACACAAACACACCACACACACACCAGCCCCCACGCACACACCATGCACACACCACACACACACACACACCACACATACTGCACACACCACACAATCACACACACACACACCACACACACACCAGACACACACACAAGGCCAAAGGAGAACACCCACACTCACGTAGAAACTAGAACTACAGTCTCACGGTTTCCCTGGCTGGCTTTGTTTTGAAAAAGAGATCGGGCACCTGGGTGGCTCAGTTGGTTAAGCGACTGCCTTCGGCTCAGGTCATGATCCTGGAGTCCCGGGATCGAGTCCCGCATCGGGCTCCCTGCTC